CTCTCCCAGTAAATGAGAAGACCAAAAATCTAACAGAAAAAAAAAGGGCAAAGGACATTAACAGTTAATAAGAAAAGAAATAAGGTGGCCCTTACATACGTGAAAAGACAGTCAAATGCAAAATAAAAGTACATAAGGGAACTATTTCTTACAAATTCTATGGACAAAAATCTAGAGTTTGATACCTCTAGAGGCAAAGGTATAAGGAAACAAGTAGTCTCATTCACTGATGCAAAATGTTTACAACCTCTATGGAGGGCAATTGGGCAATATTGATCAAAATTACAAATACATTTGCCCTTGACCCATCATTCTCACCTCCTGGAATCTATCTTAAAGATACGTCTACATACATATGAAATGATGTTCTGAAATGGCAAATAATTAAAAACAGCCCTAGTATATATCTAAAGGGGATTATTGAAATATATCCCCTCAATGACATATCCTCACAATGGTACATGCAGCTGAAAATAATGAGGAATCTATGTATTGATCAGGAAAGATCCAAGGATCCTTGGAGGAACGCTGATTCCAGGTACAGGGTAGGAACAGAAGATAAGCCTGGAACATCCTGCTGTGCCAGAATGCAAGACAGCTATCAAAGACTAATGAATTATCAACAGGACATTGTAGTTTTTCAACATAAGAATTCCATCTAATGCAAAAGGAATAACAGAATTAGAAAAAAATACCAGTTAGTAATCCCTAGTGAAATAATGATTCAGGTAACAATGATCAATGAATGGGATATTAGTACTTGAAAGGTGGATTGCAAAATTTACAATGGAGAGATCAGGCCTATTGATCTCTGAACCTATTGATCAATCTTAGTATCACTAAAATTGAGGCCACTAGATACTGTATGCCTCCTAATATGACACAATATGAAGCACTTATGAAGTATTTTAAACCAGAATTGAGACAAGCTTCTAGGGCCAATTTTCATTTTCAGGAAATACAGGGGATAGAAGAATAAGGTAATGACATCACAAGAAAACAAAAGACAAATCCAGATTTTTGGATATTCTACAGGACAAGTGACAGAGTTTCTGCAACAAATCAATGGCATAAAAACAGGAAAAAACAAAACAAGAGGGAAGGAAATGGGACTACTACATTTAAAAAAGGCATAATAGCCAAATGTGATGTGTGGATCTTGTTTAGATCCTGATGAGAATCAATTAACTATAAAAAGACATATTTGAGACAATCAGGGAAATCTGATTACAGATAGAGGCTACAAATAAATGACTATTTTAAATTTTCTTGCATATGATAATGGCACTGTGACTGTGTAAGAAAACATCTGTATTTTTAGAGGTATATACTGAAGTAGTAGGGAAAAAATAACACGCTGTCTGCGATTTGGTCTAAAAATACTATAGTAGAGGAAGAAATGTAGATAGTTTAAGCAAAGGTAGAAAAATCCTGACAATTTGGATAACGGCTGTGGCAATTTATCATGTTATTCTCTCTACTTTTATATATGCTCAAAAATATTCATAAGAAAACACCTAAAATTGAGAATGCAATTAGCAACACATTAAGCATCAGCAGTAGGCATAATGCCTGGGGTCACCACGATCAACAGACTTCTCTTCCTCTCAAACATGTATTTCATAATGAAATACTGACTTAGAGTTAAAAGAACAAAAGTGAGTTATAACAGAAGACTGCTCAGATGATCATGTCAAGGCTTTTATATCTGCGTGCATGTGCTCACTTCACGTTTAATAGCATTCCAGGGCAAGTTCTGTGTAAAGGCTTTCAAAATGAAATATAATAAAAACATAAAGATTTTTCCAGTTGTCTTAATGTATGTCCAAATATTACTTCAAGACACCAGCACATACTATTATATATAAAATGTACATATGTATATATTTATACACACACACACAGGCCATATAGAAATCAACTAACCAATACAGAATATGGTTTTAGTTCCCTTACCATCAATATTAAGCATCATTTTCCACATGGCAGGCCGAACCGATTGATGGAATCCAAACCATACTTCCCTGCCCCCTCCCAGAGGGTGGTCATATCCTTCTGGAGCTGAGAAAAACGAACGCCCCACAGGCGTATATCTACAAAAATTAAAACGGCATGTTCAATCCTTTCCTTCCCATGTAAGCATTTAAATTTGCAGAACAGGTGACTCTAGAACATAAACTTAATTTATTATAATGATGGTTATCATCATGAATATACGAAACTACACATTTTCTAAATTTGTGAAAGCCAAAAGCAGTCATTCTGAATGGGGAAAAAAAAAACCCAAAAACATCTGCATCACTCAATGAAATTCTCTATTCTTAAAACTAATGTTAGTTTGAATAAAAATAAATTTTATTTAAAATACTTTCTTAAAAAAAAAAAAATAAAAAAATAAAAAAATAAAATACTTTCTTAAAAAGATTTTAAAAAGTTAAAAGTTAACAGTTTCAACCCTAGAAAATGCTAAAGAGTAAATAATTATTGATCAAAACACAGTTTCTATAAATGTGTTTGCAAGACATAATATTAAAACACACCAATCCTATATATATACACACAGATATACCACAGATACACACATACATATGTGAGGTGCTAGTGTGATTAAAAGAGTAGCAATTTCAACACAATTTGATACTATTGTATAAACAATGAAATTACCTTTAAACAAGGTGATTTAACTATAGGAATATATCTGAAAATATATCATTACTCAAGATTGATAGCTCCTAAGAGAAAGGGTTAGACATTTTTCTAAAAAATATACATTAAAATAGCTAAGCTAATCATGTGCATTTACTTTCAAAAGTTAGAGAATTTTCTGTAACTTACTTCTATCAATGAACTTGTATGTATGCTATTCTTCAACTGAAATAATCAAAATGTACAACATCTGAAGGTTAACCAAAGGAGGCCTGCACAACTCACTCTTGGGAGGAAAGCCTTCACACTTAAAATATAAAGAGGGAAAAAAGCCAGAAGTACCCACTTCATGGAGGGCAGATGTCGTAGCACCACATCAACGGCATGGACAGGATTAGTGCTGATTGGCTTGTCTAATTCCAGTGGCTCAGGCAAGGTCCGTCCTGTCAGTACTTCATGTAGTAGGTGCCAACTCACCCGAGACACAAATTTGATTGACACCTTGAAAGGCCGATCTTTTCCACCTTCCCCAGGTAAAGTAACATCTAAATCTACCTGTTGATGGGAGAAGAGTCAACTAATAAAAGTTGAAAAAGATAAATACAATTATTTTTAAGTTTTACTTATAAAAATATTTAAGAAAACACAAGGCAAGTATTAAAAAACCAATCTCAACGTCAAATCAATAGACTAAAATTTAAATAACAGTTATTTATGCCAGCATTATTTGTCATTGCAAAATACTGGAAACTACCTAAATGCCTAAACATTTAGGCAGCTATAAAAAAAGAATGTGGAAAATCTCTTGGAACTGCAATGGAATAATTTCCAAGCTATACTGTTAAGTGAAAAAAGCAAAGTACAGAAGATTACAAATAGTATACCATCTTTTGTGTGAGAAAGAAGGAGAAAATGGGAAAATATTCATATATTTGCTTTTTACAAAAAGAAACACAGGAAGCATGAACTAGAAACAAAGAAAGTGGTTATTTTCAAAGGATGGAAAAGAACGGATTGGAAGAAATAAAGGGGGGATTAACAATTCTGAGTATATTTTTCAGTATAGTTTTGACTTTTGGAAGCATGTTAAATCAAGTTCTATATATTAAAAAATCAAAAACAACAAGGATGGAGGGAAAAACTAAAACTGAATATAAACAAAATCAAATGAAACCAAACGCATTTCCAATAAATAACATAACCACACTGACAGAAGGAAAAAAGAAAGAAAACACTAACGCAAGTAACTCTAACACAGTATGCTGACTACATTCTCAGTTGGAGTGTGGAGGAGTGGTGGATGGGGAAGAACTGCTTACAAAATAAAACCTTAAACTCTTATTAGTAGGTTTGTTTTCTATAGTGGTATGGTGTAGTAATTCAGTAACTATTTTATATGTACTGTAGGACTGAAAAAAATGAGTAAAAGTGGGTGATGTTTTGGTGAGCCAGGCATTTAAAGAAGGAAGATACAAATGTGCAAAGTAGGGAGTAAAGGAAGAATCCTGTGGGGACAGATTGGACCTGGAAGAATCAATCTGAACTCATGATTTCCAATACACATATTGTATATTGCATACAGTTAGTGGTACTGGCAGGATACATATGTTAGGTTTACTATATGACATGTAATATTTATTATTTATTGTGTTTTGTTTCTTTATTTACTTATTTATCCTTCCTAACTCCATCCACTGAAAAGGCTTAGAAGTGGCCGGCCCGGTGGCTTAGCGGTTAAGTGCACACGCTCCGCTGCTGGCGGCCCGGGGTTCAGATCCCGGGTGCGCACCAACGTACCGCTTCTCCGGCCATGCTAAGGCCGCGTCCCACATGCAGCAGCTGGAAGGATGTGCAACTATGACATACAACTAACTATCTGCTGGGGCTTTGGAGGAAAAAATAAATAAATTAATTAATTAAAAAAAAAAAAAAAAAAAAGAAAAGGCTTAGAAGTACATATAACCCCAGTAGCAATGAGCACATCCAGTACCCAAATTTTGGTTTCTAAATTGCATTCCCCAACTAAAAGAAACCAGTGCCCCTTTGAGAAATGGCCAGTTGCAGGACTGCAGCAGAGAAAATATAAGATGAATATCTTGTGCCAGAAAGTAAGGAAGCGCTCCATCCCCCAAAAAAGAAGTGTGTCGTGTCTAAAGGACACAGGAATCAGCTTAAAGGGGCTCCCACTGGCCAAATCTAGGACAATTTGGGCAGTCAAATAAATAAAGACAGATAAATAGGGCGGAAGAAAATGCTCTCCCTTACACTAGAATACCAACTAATAAATGTAGAAGGAATGACAGAATTAGAAAATCACCACTACTACATAGTAATAATCCTTCCAAGCACAAATCGTCAATTACTAAAAATGGTCTAATGAGAAACAGGATCCTTAAAAGTATCTCCTATATCAAAAATTAAAACTTCTGTACATCAAAGGATACAATCAACAGAGTGAAAATGCAACCTACAGAATGTGAGAAAATATTCACAGATCATATATCTGATAAGAATATATAAAGAATTTCTAAAACTCAACAAGAAAACCCAAAAACCCAATTTAAAAAATGGGCAAAGGACCTGAATACACATTTCTTCAAAGAAGATATACAAATGGCCCATAAGCACACGAAAAGATGCTCAACATTACTAATCATTAGGGAAATGCATATCAAAACCACAATGAGATATCACCTCACACAGATTAGGATGGCTACTATCAACAAACCCAGAAAACAACAAGTGTAGGTGAGGGTGTGGAGACATTGGAACCCTTGTGCACTGTTGGTGGGAATGTAAAACAGTACAGTCACTGTGGAAAACAGTATGGTAGTTTCTCAAAACATTAAAAATAGAATTACCATTTATATGATCCAGCAACTCCACTTCTGGGTATATACACAAAAGAATTGAAAACAGGGATGAGAACAGATATTTGTACACCCATGTTCATAGCAGCATTATTTGCAATAGCCAAAAGGCATCCATCAACAAATGAACAGATAAACAAAATGTGGTATACACACACAATGGAATATTATTCAGCTTTAAAAAGGGAAGAAAGTCTGATACCTGACAACATGGATGAACCTGGAGGACATTATGCTAAGTGAAATAAGCCAGTCACAAAAAGACAAATACTGTATGATTCCACTTATAAGAGGTACTGAGAGTAGCCAAATTCATAAAGACAGAAAGTAGAATGGTGGTTGCCAGGGTTTGAGGGGAGGGGAGAAGGGGGAATTAGTGTTTAATGGGTATAGAGTTTCAGCTTACAAGATGAAAAAAATTACAGATTGATGGTGGTGATGGTTGTGACTGCATCTCATGCAACTGAACTGCACCTGAAAAATGACTCAGATGGTAGATTTTATCTTATGTGTATTTTACCACAATTAAAAAAAAAATTCTCTCTCTATAAGATCCAAGAGAAAAAGAATAACTTGACAAGAGAAACCTGGCAGATACCAACTTAACCAAGTGATCAAAGTTAACATCACCATTAACGGAACAAATACATATTATGTGCCTCCTGATATGATGTACTGATAAGGAAAGAACACTTCTGTAATATTCCTGCCAAAAATGCTTAATCAGAATCTAATTAAGAGGAAGTACCAGACAAACCCAGACTGAGGGACATTCTACAAAATAACTTGTCTGTAATCTTCAACCATGTTAATGTCATAAAAGAAAAAAAAAAAAAAGGCTGGAGAATTGTTCCAAAACAAAGAAGACTAAAAAGACATCATATCTAAATATGATCACAAACCTGGACTGAATTCTGTACTAATGGGGAAAAATGCTAAAGGACATTACTGGAACAAATGACAAAATTGGAATATGGGTTGTTGATGAGACAAAAGTATTATATCAATGTAAAATTTAGTGAAGTTGATGACTGTACTATGGTTTTTGTCCTTCTTAGAAAATACACATTAAAGGACATTATGTATGCAACCTGCTCCCGAATGGTTCAAGAAAAAATAAGCATGTGTATCACTATATACATCTGTATCTAGAGATATAAAGAGAGAAAGAAAGAGAATGATAAAACCTATGTGGCAAATGTTAAGACTGCTGGTGAATCTAGGTAAAGGGTATACAACACTATATACATCTGTATCTAGAGATATAAAGAGAGAAAGAAAGAGAATGATAAAACCTATGTGGCAAATGTTAAGACTGCTGGTGAATCTAGGTAAAGGGTATACGTGAGTTCTCTGCATGATTTTTACAACTTTTCTCTACATTAGAAGTTATTTCAAAATAAAAAGTTTAAAAAGATAAATAATGCACACTTACATGTAATATGAACTGTAATAAAATAAAATGGTAATAAATTCATTTAAAAGGAGACATTGCAAACGTATAGCTTTCCAATAAAGGAATACGTATCTTACCCCAGTAGTTGCCACAGGAAGTGGATTGGCTGTGTAAAGACTTCTTTTTCCATCATAAACTGGTCTTCGGTCCCCAAATATAGTTACTTTAAAATGCTGAACCATTGAGTCAACCACTTCCCTAAAAAAGGGAAAAAAATACATTCACATAATCCTCTGCATGATGAAATACAAAAATTTTAACTAAAGTAATTTCTTACACTATTTGAAGCTGTCAAAATTCTGTAAGACAATCATACATGACAAAGATTTTGCTTTCAGAACCATGGCTTAGGATACCAGAAAGACTGATTTCTGGCAAAGGATGATACGAATTTCACAAAGTACAGAGAAGAATGAATCCAGTGAATTACTTAATCATTCTGGACCACAGTTGACCTGCAAAATATTATCCTTAGAAACTAATCCAAAATCCCATTCACCATCTCTAAGTACCATCTGACACATTTGCCTCTCTTTATCCGAGTTTGATGCTCTTTCCTCTATGCTCAAACAGCACCTAGTACATTTATCTATTAGAATACTTACTCCATTGTAATTATTACATACTTCACTTCTACTAGATTCTGAGATTCTTGAGAGCAATAAACACACCTATACCTTGTACTCCACCATCCTTCTACCTCCTCACCCCATCTTTACAACAGTATCTAGCCAGTAAGGATATTTTGAAACGTTCATTTTTACCCAGCAAACATTTTTATCCTATATACTTACATGGAAAGATACTCAGGACTTATACATTTTTAAAAATTACAGTCTACAGGGGCCGGCCCAGTGGCGCAGGTGGTTAAGTGTGTGTGCTCCACTGCGGCGGCCCAGGGTTCTCCAGTTCAGATCCTGGGTGCGCAATGACGCACCGCTTGTTGAGCCATGCTGTGGCGGCGTCCCATATAAAGTAGAGGAAGATGGGCATGGATGTTAGCCCAGGGCCAGTCTTCCTCAGCAAAAAAAAAAAAAAAAAAAAAAGGAGGATTGGCATCGGATGTTAGCTTAGGGCTGGTCCTCCTCACCAAAAAAAAAAAAAAAATACAGTTTATAGAGAAAATAATACCAAATATCCCCAAATAAATATTTATTTTTGTATATACATTATTCGTAAAAGCAGTGGAAAGATACTATGATGAGGGTATACTCACACAGTACTGAAATAACTTACAATACATTTAAAAGAATGAAAAAAAAAAAGATTCAATTCTTGCCCAGTCAAGTGGGTAGATGGGAGGGAAAGGAGAGAAAAAAAGCTTTTTCTGGAACAAAATAATTAAGCTGACTTGATACCCAGAGCAATTTTCTACATGCTCAAAGTTTCTATTGTACCCCCTTTTCAATTTTATTTTGCTGAAACTATTTAAATCAAGATCAAGTCTTTCCTAGAGTAAATTTTACAACAAAGATTTGATTCACTGATCAGTTTTTGGGTACCAAACAAATTTCAAAGATTTTCTGCCATTTTAAGTTTTCTTTTGTGACCATTATCATCAATTCCAGTTTCTCAGATCTCATTTGTCAGGATGTTTTGAGTATTTTGTCACTTTTTTCTCAATAGCAGATTGGGGTAATTTTAAGCTTACTACATCCTGGTAACCCAATCAAACCACCCTAAGGATCAAAATGGTGAAGGAGATTAAAATAGTAGGGCCAAAACATAGGGATAAAAAATGTTCTGCTTTGATGGCTAGCACACAGTATATTCTTAATCAATGTTCGAACAGTGGATAATCTACCTCAATGAACCGCCAGAACCTCCAGTGGAATATATCTAAAGCTGAATTCAACATATTTCCCCCAGGTCAAATCTGGTTATCCTCCTGTTTACTACTCCTCTTGAATTATTGGAGCCTCCATCTTCCCATTTACCCAGATTCAAAACCTGGCTCATCTCTTCATCCAATTAGTTGTTGACTTCACCTCTCTGCAGTATTTCTTATATCAGTCCCTTACTTTCCATTCCCAATTACCACCATTCTAAATTAAAACTTCATGTCTTACTACCTGGATTATTTTAAGTTTCTTGTTCTTTATGCCTTTAATTTTTTTCTTCTCCAACTCAACTTACATACCATTGCCAAATGAGTCCCCAGACCCCACTTTTATTTCCCAGGTACAAAAGGTTAAGTTAATCACACTCCTCAGCTCATGGCACATTATCATCATTCATCTGTATAAGACCCCTCTTCTAACTAGTTGATTTCTTTCCTTTCATATTCATTTTCTATCCCCATTCCCCTTACCAATAAGTTATTTCTTCTAATGTGTTTGATGAGTATCCTTCTGTTTGTATATATTCCTACCTTTACCCTCTGTACTAGGTTTTTAACATCTATTCCCGTTGCTGTGGGACACTTAGTTCACTGTTCCTGATGCAAAGTACTCTACATGTTGTCTATCCACTCCCTCAGCAACACAGACTCAGAGTATCTTTAACTGCCAGCCACCCAAAACAATGCTGCAATGCAATATCTCCTTCTATGTTCCCTTATAAACCTATGCGAGAATTAATTTCTGGTTATATATCCAGGAACAGAACTGTTAAGTCCTAGTGAATTTTATCAACTAAATGACAAAGAACTGCCAAATTGCTCTCCAGAATGGCTGCACTAATCTACACTCCCGGAGGTTCCTATTTCCCTACACCCCAGACAAGATTTGGCATTATCTAGCTTCACTTTCTAACTTTTGCTAGCCTAGTGGGTAAAACTAAAAGCTTGTTTTAATTTAGATTTCTCTTATTACTAACGAATTTGAGTACCCCTTCATGTGTCTGTGTTTCTTCTTTTGTGAATTCCCTACTTCTTTTGCTCATTTTTCTATTGGGGTCCCAGTCTTCTTATTGAATTGAAGGAGTTTCTTTGATATTCTAGATAGTAATTCATTAACAGGTTTAATTATTGCAAATATCTTCCCCCAAAATGTTATCTGCCTGTAAACAATGTCCATTTATTTGCTGAACTGAAATCTTTAACATTGTATCATCAAATTAATCATTTTTCACCTACGGTTTCATGCTTTTGAGGTTTTAAGAAATACTTTCCTAATACTAAGTCACAAAGATGTATTATGTTTTATTAACTTCATAGTTTTTTCTATATTATTCTATTTATTATATATTATTATTTACTGATCTTTATTATTATTAATTATTATTACCTATATTTATTTTACATATTATTTTGGTCATTAATCCCTCTGAGGTCCTTCTTTATAAACAGTGCTATGTAGGGACTCGATTTTACTCTTCTCCATATAGTGAGCCAGTTTTCCCACACCATCTACTAAATAGTCTATACTTAACCAACCAATTTATAATGCTATTTTTATCTTATTAAGTTCTCACATACAAATGGATCTGGCTCTGAGTTCTCTATATTGTCTCAGTGGTCTATTTGTCTGTTCTTAGACCAGTATCATATGTTTTCATGATTACTAGAGTGTTTTTTTTTTTTTTTCCGGTGAGGAAGATCAGCCCTGAGCTAACATCCGTTGCCAATCCTCCTCTTTTTGCTGAGGAAGATTGGCCCTGGGCTAACATCCGTGCCCATGTTCCTCTACTTTATATGTGGGATGCCTGCCACAGCATGGCTTGATAAGTGGTGCTATGTCCATGCCCAGGATCTGAACCTGGGAACCCCGGGCTGCCAAAGCGGAGCACACGAACTTAACCACTACACCACCAGGCCAGCCCCTAGAGTGTTTATGTTGTAATGTGGGGCAGGGCAAGTTCCTTTTCTTTTTCTAAGTTAACTTGGACATTCATGGAAATTTTTATTCAGAAAAAACTTCTCAAGTCCTTCCCCCTCCAAAAAAAACCTATCACTACCATAAGCAAAAGAAACATATCTAGTGCCCTACATATTACATATAGTAACTAATCAAAAAATATCTGTTGGTTAAGAAATCCTCAAATAATACATACTTGGGAGACGTGGCTAGTATGCTAAAAACAAATTAGTGTGTTAAAAGCTGACAAACTACAACAATGAACTCAAGGAAGATAAAACATAATAAGGGCAATAAATCTAAACGCTTATGTTTGAAAAGTTCAGCTGCAATAAAAACAAATTAGAGAATCTGAATTGACCCACTGCTCTTGTGGAAAGGGGCTTTAAGGTGACTGTAAGTCCAGAATGAGCTAAAAGTGGGATGTAGCAGGGGCCGGCCCGGTGGCGTAGCGGTTAAGTGCGAGCGGTCCACTGTGGCAGCCAGGGGTTCGCGGGTTAGCATCCTGGGCGCACAATGACGCACCTCTTGTCAAGCCATGCTTGGCGGCATCCCATATAAAGTAGAGGAAGATGGGCACGGATGTTAGCCCAGGGCCAATCTTCTTCAGCAAAAAGAGGAGGATTGGCATCAGATGTTAGCTTAGGGCTAATCTTCCTCACAAAAAAACATAAATAAATAAAATAATAAAAGTGTGATGTAGCTTCCTCAAAATTAAAGAACTCAGGTTGCATATATCTAAGTACCCATTATAAGGCAGGTAACCATCCTGTCATATATTACACAGGTCATTTCACATTCTGGAGTACTCTTTCAACCTGGAAAAATTTAAGACCCTAAAAATGAAACATAATCAGTAGAAGGTAATCCTGATAGAAACTCATGTAATATGTGTAAAGATAAATCACAATAAGGACCTTTAGTCTGGAATAGGAAAGACTCAAAGGAAATTATAGAAGTCTTTGCCTATTCTGATGGACCATCAAGCGAAAAACTGAGTAGAAAATCTATCTTGCATGGGAGGATAGAACTAGGACAAATAGATGGAAAAATATACAGGAGCTAGATTCTGGAACAAAAATATCCCACATTTTCTAACCACCAGAGTTATTCGCAAGTAGATTACACTATCTTGCAAAGTACCTAAATTCATCCTTGCTAGTTCAAAGAGCAGTTACGTCAGGGAAGATACCAACCAAAAGACTGATATGAATAATCTCTGCAATCCCCTCTATCAGTAAAATCTAATCAAGAGAATACCAAATAATGAAACACTGCAGATTTTATCATGGCATCAGATATAAAAACTCCTTTATGAATAATTACCTTAAACATTGATTTGAACTTAAGGCTTCAGAGCCTTAACAGAATGGGGTTAGAATTTTATATACACCAGGCAAT